TGTTGTTGTAAGATATTCCAATTAATTTTTTTCAGTTTACAGCAGTATTTATTACACAAAATTTAAGTAAAGCTTAACATGCCGATCTTGCCCCGGTCTCCCCTATATTATTTAAATACATTTATACACGTTTAACAAAAACAAACAAAAGGAAATTAAAAAAAAAAGTTTTTAAAACATTTTCTATAGTAACGGTTTAACTCCAAACGGGATTCACCTACAATAGAGAATTCTGTTGTTGTAAGATATTCCAATTAATTTGTTTCCGAGTTTGTTAATTTTCATAGGTATTGCGGATCGAAGTGTGAGATATCATTTCTTATCTCGTTTGTAGGCAGACTTGATAGTAGAGTTCAATGATTAGATTGGTGGTATAAGGAAACTCAACACATGGATGATCTGCAAAGGGGGTGTCTCCCGGAAGGATTTTATGGGAAACTGGCCCCTATTTATGTATTAGACATGTAAAGAAAACTCAGAAAATTCCACGTGGCCAACCCTAACGAGTTTAACACCTAAATAGGGACCAGTTTCCCTTTGATCGTTCACACGTTGCGTTGCCTTATCCTACCAATCCTAAATAAAGATTTTAAATATTTCCGTGTCAGATGTGTTAAATTTACATTCATTAAATATGAAACTCCTGTAAAAATTATAAGGAATTTTTGCAAACTCATTTTTTGAAAAATTCTAAATTATTATTAAATCGTGTTTTGATTTTAGATTATTTATTAACAAAATTATTTTAAATGTGTTATGTCATGATAAATAAATTTGGTCGACAAGATGCAAGTTACATATTGATAAAATTGAATAAATATTAATACCCTTTAAAAGGAAATAATATTTATTCAATCTTGTATAGAATTAAATAAGTTCAATCTCTATATCAGTGTTTTTCAACCTGTGGGTCGCGACCCCCCTGGGGATCGCGAAGCCTTACACGGGGGGTCGCGGGTAAAGGAAAAAGACAAGTGTTTGTAGGTCCTACACTATATTAAAAAAACTACAATTTCGGCGAGAAAGCTGTATCTGTTTATTATACAGTACAGTTGGTTTTTTGATTGACATTTAAGTGTGAATGATGGGTTTCGCCAGGGAGGGGCCAGAAAATGATAGCCGAAAAAGTGCTGAGCTGACCTGTAAAAAAAGTAATAAGTACTTAAAAACTGTCGTCCTAAAAAAAAGGTCAACAGCACTCCGAACCCAATGTTCCTATGAGAGGGAAGTATCATACCATACGTGTCATAAGTTATTGT